CCAGGAAAGGCGCAAAGCTACACAGAGAAACCCTGTCTCAAAAAACAAACAAAAAAAAAATACTAAAACAAACAAACAGATGTTAGGTGTCCATTTAAACTGTTAGAAAAATACTCAAAACAAAAATAAAATAAGGTTGTTTTAAACAGCAAAAATACAACTAAAATCATCATCACCTTTGTGGTGACAGAGACCAGTCCCAAGTCTTGCACAGACTAGTAGAGTGCTGAGTCACAGACCTACATCCCAAGAATAAAAGCTGACTTTTAAAATCACATTTTTCAAAACCCTAACAAGGCAGAAAGAAAGAAGTCACAAATAACCAATATTATTATTATTATTTTATTTTTTATTTATTTCCTTTTTTTTCGAGACAGGGTTTCTCTGTGTAGCTTTGCGCCTTTCCTGGAACTCACTCTGTAGCTCAGGTTGGCCTTGAACTCACAGAGATCAGCCTGGCTCTGCCTCCCGAGTGCTGGGATCAAAGGCGTGAGCCACCGTCACCCGGCATGCAATGTTTTTGATGCCAAAGAACCTCATTATTTGTCAAAGTTTTTGTCAACTCAGGCCTTTTTCAAAGTGGCCACCTAAAAAAATATAAGTAGTTATAGTTCTCACATTTCAATGAAAAATGTCTTGATATGGTCTTTTTGAAAAATGATTAATAACATGTTAGTTACTTTCCCCAAAGAATTCTCTCCCAGCAACTGGCCACTATGTGTATGTTAACAAGCAGCATACTTTCTCCCAGCTGGCCCATATAATGGCCCATGGCACCTGATACCACTTATGACTTAAAACCAAGTAAACCTACTTTTCTTTTCTATAGACTTTAGGTCTGTTCCCTCACTGAGCATGGGCCTTCCACAGTAACATCTTACTAAGAAGTCTTTAGCAGGGGAATCTAGAAGACAAGGCGCACATATTACTTACTACCTAGTCGTAGAATACAGCTATGAGGAGTGTTTGGCCCAACTGCATATGCACAGTGACTGTAAAAAATTAAAACACTGCTTAAAATTGAAATATAAACATACTAAAAATAAGACATCACATTTTAAAGAGAGATTCAACTGCGACTACAAAATGTACATCAACTCAAGAAGCACACATGAAATTCGTGTGACCACATACTCATTTTCCAATTTTTTGACGCAATAGTAACAGTATAAAATATCTTATCAACTGAATGTGTTCAACAGAGTTAAAAATCGTTCACTTTCATCAATACCTATCAACCAAAGCAAGTTTATTTTGTGGAGAGGAAAGACCAGAAAAGCAAAACTAATAGCAAACCTCCTAAGCACTTCACATCCCTCTCTTCAGGAGCTCTCTGTCCTCAGCAGCCCCTTTTGAAAACTAGACCCCAGCAGTGTGTGACTGGCTGCTCTGCCCTCCAGCACATGAGTGCACTGTCACCCTTACCTGGGGGACCGCGCCCTTTGAGGTATCTGTAGACAAAGCCAAAGAGATCAGCTCTCTCATTGTTCTTTTCAACAAGTCCAATCTGCCCTTCTTTGGTTCAGATGCCAACAGTGCCTGTGGGGGGAAAATACCAAAATCAACGGGCTTTGGTTTTGCATACACCTATTTGTCGGTTGGAATTAATCCCCAAATTGAAATACCTTCTATAAAAACAAGACTACAAGGGTAAGTTAATTAAGCCAGGCTGCTTGAACCAGGCAGCTTAACTTCTCTTCCTTGTTCATGTATAAAATTAGGCTAAATCATGTCAACTCCACAGACTCTTCTGTTTGCTTATTGAGTATATACTTATAAGCGGTTAATAAATAAATGACTTGGATAGGCCACCTTGTAAGGATCAAATCAGATAAAACAGCAGATACAACAAACAAGGCACTTCCAGAAAAAATTGATCAAACAAGAAAATTTTCCTTATTTAAACAGTTACAAAAACATTCTGGATTAGATTTCTTCTAAAGGTTTTCAGGCCCTCTAGATATTGATCAACAATTTCATTCTTCACAGAAGAGTCTCCTGAAAGTCTAATTGTACCACAGCGTTTGAAACTCCATAGGACAACAAGAAGCATTACAAACTCCAAAGGGATCTTGCACTTGGATTTCAAAGGAGCCACTTATTTACTTTGTGACTAGCATCCAATAAACAAAATAATGGGTTATCAGCCCACTTAAGGCAATATAATAAAAAGAAATAAAAAGTACTGATATAAGTGTGTGTGTGTGTGTGTGTGTGTGTGTGTGTGTGTGTGTGATAACATGAAGGACTCCTGAAAATGTTCTGCTAAGTCAAAAAAGCCAGACACAAAAGACTGAATATCGTATGCTTCCATTTACACGAACTGTTGAGCACACGCAAATCCACAGACAGAAAGATTAGTGACTGCCAAGGACTGAGAGCAGCAGAGGTGGGTGGAAAGGGAGTAAGGGCTAATGCGTGAGGGATAGGAGATATTCCAAAATTAGATTATCTAATGGTTATCGAGCTCTGAGACTATACTGAAAATCACTGTATGGTACACATTAAATGCATAAACTGTTGCCACAAGTGAATTTTATCTCCACAAAGTTGTCAAAGAAAAACCACTTCAGCTACATTCTTGAACTCTCGTCCTCCACATCTACATCTTGTAAAATGTAGCTTCTGGCTCCCTAGAGGCAAAGTTTGCAACTAGTCTGCATCTTCTATCCATGGCAAGACTTAAAATAATTCATCCCAATCTATCTATGCTCGGAGAACATGCTCTATGGACATTTTAGAAGGGTCTGTTTATACAAAGGGTAACTGCATACACTAAAATGGTGCTTTTTCATCACAGCTGCCTTTAAACTGCAGCTGTCAGCAGAACAAAGAGTATTACTGCATGGTACATCATCCTAAGAAAAACAGGACCCTCTTGGAGCAGATTTTTCTGATAATTAAAACTTTATTACACTAACATAAATAAGAACGCTACACTCAATTACTGAAAGGTGTTCTTCCCAGAAACATGACTCAACTCACCTTGCCTCAAAGAACTGGGCAAAGTATTGCAACGTTGCCTGTTAAGTCTGGGCTTAGGAAAAGGACTTGGTGGTCACTCTATAACTATGACCACTTGGTAGCACAAGGTGAATAATATCCCAGCACATAACACAAGCACTGGGCAGGATCCTCAATTACCTGACATTTGTCCTCTGAAAAGAAGGTCACATAACCACAACAGGTCAGAAGGAACCGCAAGTCAGAAACTAAATCAATCACACTTAGCTAGACAGGAGGTATAGGCGGGACTTCTGGACAGAGAGAGCTCTGGGAAGAAGAAAGGCGGAGTCCCCAGCCAGACGCAGAGGAAGCAGGACATGCAGGGGGAGCAGTAAAAGCCGCGAGCCACGTGACAGCACATAGATCAATAGAAATGGGTTAGTTTAAGTTCTAGGAGCTAGTTACAAATAAGCCTAAGCTAAGGCCAAGCTTTCATAATTAATAAGGAGTCTCCATGTTATCAGTTGGGAGCAGGTAGGACAGGGAAAGACTCATTACAGAAAAGTGGCTGGGATCACATAGAAAGCTCACTTCTCAGGGCTGCCCAGTGATCTCAGTCAATCACTTCTGCAACTGGTGCCCCAATAAGGGCTGGAGAGATGGCTCAGCAGTTAAGAGCACTGGCTGCTCTTCTGGAGGACCCAGGATTCAATTCCCAGCACCCAAATGGCAGCTCCCAACTGCCTGTAAGTAATTCCAAGATCTGACACCCTCACACAGACATACATGCAGTCAAAACACCAATGCATATAAAATAAGAATAAACAAATTACTTGAGAGAGAGAGAGAGAGAGAGAGAGAGAGAGAGAGAGAGAGAGAAATGAGAGAAATGAGAGAAATGAGAGAAATGAGAGAAATGAGAGAAATGAAAGAAAAAACTGTAGGGGCTGCTTTATTTACTTCCATGTGCTTATTACACTACCCAATTCGTGGGTTTTGTGTTCCTATAAACAAGGATGGAATCTGATTTAGTACTGCGAGGGTATTGGTGTTTACTCTTTGAGATAATGAAGCGATAGTCTCTTATTCTCTATTCCGTCAGCAGCACTAACAGCGTATGGGGATATGAGCAGGTTGTAAGGTACAATTGTTTTAAAAAGCAAGTGTCCAGCATGTTCCCATCTGTGTTCAGGAACTATACTCACACATAGTCTCTCACGAAAAACGTGGTCAAGAGTCAGATGGACTGGGCTTAATCTTTGGGAAGTTTTACATCCCCATGGCCTTTGGCAGGTCACTTCCTCAGTCCCCAGTCTCTTCACTTAGGACATATTCATATGATAACCGTACCTATCTCATAGGGTTTAGGCAGGGTTCAAATGAAGTAACAGATGTGATATAATCACCACTAACTGTGAACTATTAAGATTATGATTTTTATGATGGATATGTTATAGAAGGACTCAATATGGGTACTTCCTAGAAGTAAGCAATCCTTGTGCCCCAGTGATTTCTGACTACTGAATACCCAGATGGAAATCTATACCGCCCTCTGTTTATATTACAGGACTGACCTGATCCAAGAACAGATCTGACACAGAACATACTGTCCACACGTTAAAACAAAGTCACACAGGAGACAGAGAGATGACAGGCAGAGTCAGGAAAGGTGCTTGCCACCAAATGTTCTCATCCTAAATCCAATCCCACATGATGGAAAGAGAGACCACCTCCAGCAAGTTGTCTTCTGATCTCCACATGTGAGCCACAGCATGTGCATGCCTGTGTACATATGCACACATAAATAAATGTAGTAAAAATTAAAAATAACCAAGTTGCAAATGCCGTGGTAGGGAGAAGACAGAAACATCCTAACGCAGTTTGTTTACTCACATACTACGGAGGTGAAAAGGCAGTTTCAAAGCACAGAGAGAGCAGGGTGGTGGTCTCAGGTGGGTACCTGGATGTAGAAAGGGATTCCGGCACTGCGCCTTGTGGCGCAGAGTTTGGAGGAGGGACCGCTGCTTTTAATCTCGTCCAGCACACTGCACAGCCACCACTCCGGCAGCTTCTGCAGACCCACATTAGAGCACCTAAAGGACGAAGGAGCAAATGATTGCAAGGATTAGGTTCTAAGAGGTCAAAGTGCAAACTAATGATGTCCATTAACACAACACTGTCACGAATAATCAACATTGTATGTTGAGAAGGCAAACCTAGAAGTGTCTTACTTGTACTTTTTAACCTACTGTTATATACCTATTATACGTTACTCTCGACATCAGCCTGGTGAGATCTAGAATCTCCCGAGAGACAGGCTTCAGGGGTGCCTGTGGGGGATCATCTTTAGCTGAGGTAAGAGGTGCCATCAACTGTGGGTGGACTTTCTAAGGAGAGGGTGAGCTGAGCAGAGGCATTCACCTCTTCTTTCTGGCTATGGGTCCAGCGACTTCCAGCTCCCAATGCCTGGACTTCTCTGTCATGATGACTGCACCATGAACCAGAATAAACCCTCTCCCTCAGGCTGCTTTCTTCAGGAAGTTTCATCACAGCAACAAGAAAGTAGCTAAGACCCCTCTTTACTATGTGCCCTGGGCCTTGAAGCCATTAAGGGTTCTACTTACTGCAAATAGTGTATGTAAAGCCCGATCTTATCTACAAGTCAGCTTGATCACACAGGCTTGCCTCCATACCCCAATGGTCTGAAGAAGGCTCACAGAGGTCGAACAGATATCCATACTGGGAAACTCGAAGTTTCCAACAAAAACATCATACATAGTATAGTTTTCTGTAATTGACTTTTATTTATAGATTACACACAATCAAAGTAAATGAATGAATTCAAACTTACATCTTAATAATTACTTTCATTTTACTTAAAATGTGGCTTCTTGCCAGGCGGTGGTGGCGTACGCCTTTAATCCCAGCACTCGGGAGGCAGAGCCAGGCGGATCTCTGTGAGTTCGAGGCCAGCCTGGTCTCCAGAGCGAGTTCCAGGAAAGGCGCAAAGCTACACAGAGAAACCCTGTCTCGAAAAACCAAAAAAAAAAAAAAAAAAAAAAAAAAAAAAAATGTGGCTTCTTACAAAAATATTGTTTTCTAATCTGTAGAGTATTAAGAATGAAATTTATCTGGGAAGAGGCAAAACATGTTAAAAGTTTATTTGAACACTATATCAGAAGATGTTCTTAAAACTGTATGTGTGTATGCGTATATGCACGTGTGTCTAAGTGTGTGTATGTATGAATGCATGTGTGTGTAAGCGTGTGTATGTACATGTGTATATGTGTGTGCATGTGTATGTGCACACACAAACAGGCAGGAACGCCATGGCATGGGGTCAGAGGACATCTCTCCGGAGCCCCTTCTCTTTGCTCCCTTGTGGGATCTGAGGACAGGCTGTCAGGTCAGTGTTTAGGAGCCCTGCGGACCGTCGCACTCTGGCTCTCCTGTACCACCGGCATTAGCTGAAGCAGCGGCATGCTCAAGGGCAGGGAGACAGCCACCTTGAAAAGGGGCAGCTCGACCACAGGGAAGTGCTGTGCCCGTCAGGCAAAGGTTCTATTGCTAAGCTAGATCCCCAGTCCTGTCTGGTTTTTGTTTGAGAAAAAAGTCTCCATAAGATGCCCATGCAGGCCTAGAATTGGGCAATCCCCTGACTCAGCCTTCCTAAGTAGGAATTAAAGACCAGGATCTGCTTAACTGAAATTAACTCATTAAAATAAACAGATATCAAGTTGGAAAAATGTTTCTATTGTAAGTAGAAGAAACCAATCACCAGAAAGATAAGTGGCTGTAATCTGGGGCAGGAGTTGCACCTTAGACACACATTTGGGATTTGTCTTTTTTCTTTATCCTGTTGCAAAACAGGGAACTTCCATTTCTGACAAAACATTCCAGACAGCAACTGAAGTTTAGGTAAATGTTCCACAATGACTTAAATACGGAACTAACACCACTTAAACTGTGCCACAGTAAGCCTTGACATGAACTGAAGCACATCATTCCTAAACATTAGACTCAAATCCCATACACTCAGCAGGCTGAGATTTTAAGGATTTCCTCATAGAATGGATTAAAATCCATCCGCCCACCCTTGCTTCTTCCCACCTGTGTCCCTCAGCCACCAAATCTCTCAAAAGTTTAAACCACTGGCTGGGGATGTAGTTCAATTGACACAGAGTTTGCTTGGCATGTTCAAGGCCCTAGGTTCAATCCCCAGTAGTTAGGTGTTAAAAAAAAAAAAAAAAAAAAAAAAAAAAAAAAAAATCCGAATCAAGAGACTAAGAACCAAAGGCTTAGCAACAAACTCTAGTGTGACAAACTGGTTTACACCTCCATCAGGCCGGGCGGTGGTGGCGCACACCTTTAATCCCAGCACTCGGGAGGCAGAGCCAGGCAGAGCTTTATGAGTTCAAGGCCAACCTGGTCTACAGAGCGAGATCCAGGACAGGCTCCAAAACTACATGGAGAAAACTACTGTGTCAAAAAACAAAAACAAAAACAAGTACACCCTGATTGGAACAAATAAAATGTAAGAACTATACTACCAAGTAATATAAAAATCTATGCATGGTCTAGATATAGCCAACATCAAGGATGTAACCATGGCGTTGAGACACGAGGAAAAGTGTCCACACATTTTTAGAGACACATACAGAAAGCCCTGGGAGTAAAATTCACAAACCAAGATTAATATTTTAATACTTCAACAACTACCATGCAGAGGCACAAAGCATCTGTGGAAATTCTGATAACTGTTGAATCTGAGCAATGAATAAAGGCAACCTGACCTTTTATTCTCCACTTTTAAACATGTTTGTATGCATGTATATACATACACATATTTATATTTTAAGGACCAAAGTTGCTTCCTAGTCTATCATTTTAAAGATAAAGTCCTACGCTGGCTGCACTGGGGAAAGAACCCAGGGCCTTGCATGTGCCAGGTAAATACTTTTCCGGTAAGCGACATTCACAGCCACAGGTAGCAATTTCTTAGCTTATATTATCATTGCCAACGAACAGGTACTGCTCTTGTAAGAGGACCCGAGTTCAGTTCCCAGCACCCATGTTGGGTGGCCCTAAATCCTTCAGCTCCAGAGGACTCAACACCTTCTTCTGACCTCCAAAAGCATCTACACTCACATGTACATGCTGACACACAGGCACAGAAATAAACATTTAAAAAACAAACCCTAACTTGGCACAATCTTTCATTTCCCAATCAAAAACTGAACTCCAGATTGCTCAAAGCAAAAGCAATTATTTAAGTGCTAATGATAGAGTTATAGATTGAACTGCTACACTCTTTGAGTACCCTTTCACTGAAAAACAGGAAGAGTATATAAGGGTTAATTTAGCTCACAATAAGTAGACAAGAAAATTAAAAAAAAAAACTAAAGCAAAAGACATTGTGTGTGTGTGTGTGTGTGTGTGTGTGTGTGTGTGTGTGAGATTCAAGAATATGTTGGAGTTACACACAGAAGCTGGGAAAGTCACTTAGGGTGAATTTCAGTTCCTTGCATTTTCTGCTCTGCTGAAGGGCTGGCTTCAGGAAAAGGCCGCAGTCTAAGGCAGGTCAAGTCTCCAGTAAGAATTCAGTAGGCAGGAGAGATAGGGAGAAATGAAATGCAGGTCAAGACAGGAATGTGTGTTCTCTCAAGTGCACTGAAATACTAGTACACTAGACACTAGCTCAACAAGGCTTCTTCCTGGGCGAGCGAATGAAGGCCACAGAAGGCAGGCAGGTCTGGGTCAGTGGCTACCTCCCCAAGAGTCAGCCTTCCATGTATGAACTGACAACTGCTCTAGACTACCAATCAAATCTTGATTTAGATGATGATATTCTCCTTAGTCTGAAAGGTCATATACGACCTGGACCTAACCTTCCTACTTTAACTTCACCAACTTCTACACAGATATTGTTTTAATAAGGTTCCTCTCTTTGCTGGCTTCTACACTAGTGTACAACACACACACCAAATATGCACAACCCATACTTCCAACTAAGCATCTTTCAATAGTCTCCACACATACTCCTGCATCAAAATCAATAAGCTTTCTAAGTTATATGGAGCAGTTACTAGACACAGAACACAGAGGGCTGGTGGTGTCATGGCAGGAACAGGATGTAAGCTAGAGATTGAAGGGTATTCAGAAGAATGGTGGACAGTCTACAGAGCAGGGTCCAGAAAGAAGGACACACCAGGGAACAAGCTTTAACCAAGGTCCCAAAGACAATTCCCTCATTTAGACTCTTGGCTATCTGAAATGTAAACACTTAGCCAGACCCATTTATTCCCTTGGGTATTGCATACTAAGGACCAAATGTTCCTTATTAATTTGGGGATTTCCAAAACAGGGCCAGAAGAATGTTCTACAAGATTACAGCTGGCAAAGTATCCTCAAAAGAGCCCTCTGTGCCCACTGAAGACCCAGCAACTTCAGGACGAGCTCCGAGAAATGCTTGGGGCATTCATTCCTGCCATCCAGTCCAGACCTTGTTCTGCTCTGGAATTCCCCAGCACCAAACCAGCTTTTCTGAAGAATTCTTTAATTGGCTGGTTTCCAGTCTGGGCTTTGCTGTTGAATTCCATTTCTTTGATTCCCTGGCTTCCTAGTTCTGCTCCTCTCTTGGACTAGACCTCTCACTCCAAAGTCACATACATAAATTTGCTCCAACAATATAACTCTCACTCTCTATATTCATATGAAACACACTATATTCCGAACAAAATTTTACAGGTTTTATTTAAATTACCATACTGGCAATATATTTGCCTGCTGCATGGAAAGAAAACATTTATTTCATGTCTGTTATGCATCTAGTCAACACCACCCTCTACACATCTAGTCAACACCACCCTCTACACATCTAGTCAATATCACCTTCTATACATCTAGTCAATATAACCCTCTACACATCTACTCAACACCAGCCTCTACACATCTAGTCAACACCACCCTCTACACATCTAGTCAAAACCACCCTCTACACATCTAGTCAACACCACCCTCTACACATCTGGTCAATACCACCCTCTACACATCTGGTCAATACCACCCTCTACACATCTGGTCTTGCATCATC